CTTTTACAACCCAAAAGTAAGCTTGGGAGAGATAATGATATATCGTTTAGAACTGGTAAAGGGAGGAATTCGTGACTGAGTCCAGAGTCCATTTTAAACAGATATGTGGCTGCGACTCCAACCACAGGACTTTTCCTCAAGGTTTACGTCTTCCTTTATTATTATTTTTCTTTTATATAAAAAAAAAGCTGCTGATGCTGCTAAGCACAACCCCTTAAAAAAATAAAAATAAATAAAAAAAAGGGGTAAAAGATTTTACGCTACAGTTTAACGGACAAGTGTCATTTTTTAAGACATTGGTCGTGGGAAAAGAGAATAAGGGACAATTGTTATTTTTAAAAAGCTCTATCTAATTTTCTTGTCTGTCGAATGCTCTGAAGCGGCACAAGAAGTTGAACCGAACCGTTGGTGCTAATTCATTAGTACTAGAAGCAGCCAGAATGGTTTGCTTGATGAGTGTGATTTGTTTTTGACATAATTAAGCTTAAGAAAATGATGTCCCATACATAATGTTCAGAGAAGTTTTAAGTTTCCTGAACCTTCTACTGTTGGCCGAATCGTGTCCCAGCGTTGGAGACTAGAGGAAAATGCACTTCGTCGGGGATCTTTCGACGCCAACAACATATGATTAAGGTTCCCACCTTCCTTGAGGATAGATTGATTACTTTGGCGTAAATTAGCCGGAGTCAACTACCAAGGAAGAGGGCGTTAAGTTAATTAGAGTTGGCGGTTGCGTGGAAATGCATTTTCCCGTATCAATCAATTAATAATAATGTTGTGGTCTTCTTCCAACTTCCAACGCCCAATTAAAAATAATGGTTTCCGACTACAGAAGCTTCACGTGTTTACAATTCTGAAAATTGCGGCATTTATTGACGTATCTAGACCCATCATTTCAACCATCTTTTACAGAAAGTCCTTTTTCTTTTTCTTTTTTTGTTTCTTCGACGGCTAGCAGCCACTTATACTCCATCATCCTCTTCCTCTTATATATATATATATATATATTGATGGAATCGTTCCAAAAGCGTTTTTGTTACGGAAGATAAATGCGTCTAAATATCTAATATCGCAATTTGCAGCATTTTGTTCCTTGCTGAACAACCTTCTTCCCAAATGAGTCTTTAAACAAAAAAATAATAAAAGGACTCGTGCAAGGCATTATTGTGAATTTTTTATGGTAGCATGATTTCAATAATCGGTTAGTTGGAGTACCACGGCAATTGAAGACGAGAAAAATTAATGGTTTTGATTCGTTCAAAAGCCAAAAAAAAAAAAAGAGACAGAAATATTGCAGAGTAGAAGCAGGGGCGGGCAGAGAAATTGTGACCCTCTAGCTTTAGAGTTAGGCATAGTTGACTTCTCGCTCCCCTTTATACCTAGGTCATCACCAGCATTTCATTTTTCTATGTGGTTGAAGTGGCTTTTTTGTTTTTTTATTTTTTGGAGGGGAGGGGGGGGGGGGGGGGTCCCAAAAGACGGAGAGAAATTAAAAAGAGAGAGAGAGAGAGAGAGAGTTGATTCCCTACTTCTGAGTTCTGACTCCTGAGTGAGTGATCACCACGGCATTCTGACTTGGATTCCCATGTACTGGTAATCCCTCAATGCTCCTCAACCCTTCTTTCTCTCTGCTCTTTTTCCAAGTGAAAGGTATGGAAATTTTGTCCAATTGAACTGTCTTCCAAGGAAATTCCAAGTGAAATGTCTTCAAGTTCACGTCTTCTGCCCAATTTCTCTCCGCATTCCAGAAACTTTTTGACCCTTCGAATCCAACTTGATGAACTCTCTGTACATGCATTTAGAAAAGTGTCATTTTCTCGGATCATCTTTTGCTGCTCTGATCGGTTGCATCTCTCCAGGAGACCCATGCACGCGTCGTTCTGAGATCTGAAATTGGTAGTACAGCTATTGTAACTCACAAGGCGAAAAAGTAATAGGGGAAAGAGAAATGCGGAGAGCAACTTCAGGAACTACGTCCATGCGGTGGAAAGACCCCCAAAGTTTTGACTCTGCATCGGGGAATGCTAATGGTTAAAAAGTCAATTCGAAAATTAATCAACAGCTACAGCATTGGGAGCTAGAAATGGCCTCCAGATTGATAAAAGGACAAATCTCAGACCAAATCTCTGGCCTCCAATTGACAAAGGACAAATCTCAGACCAAATCTGTGGTCTCAGCTGCCCTCCAGAGAGGGCCAAGACCGGTTCGGCATTTGCGAGCCTACTTTGACCGGACAAAATACGCGGCCGCAGCGCTGGATCCTGCCAGATAGGATATAGGAGGGCTCGTCGTTTCCTCAATCTGAGCCGCACGGGCGTGACACCAAAGATCTTTAGCACTGACAGTCTGGGGCCCATCTCGTGCCACGTGGAATTTCTCTGACCAGTAGTACGGCTTTTATTTATTTATTTATGGGGCCTACTCCTTGGACGTGGGTCCTACTCCTACCAAAGTGTCCCTGTTACTGCAAATGGGTGTCCGTGGTTGCAGACTTCTATGAGTGGGCCCCCAGTCCCGGCATGGCCCGATGGCTCCGAGGTGCGTGGCTGGCTGTTACTGCGGCGGTCCCCGGTCAGTCTCTACTCTCTCGTCTCTACTACTAATATGTAATATCTATCTCCGTTCGTGATTCTCCTCCTCCGGCTCCTAGTCTCTCCTTCGCTTTGTCTCCCGTCTCACCAGTTTCTGCAACGTCGACTGTCGAGTCTTGACCGTCACCGACGGCGCCCAGCCAGCTGTCACGGGAAAACGACTTCACCACTGAGATTCGTCCGAACTTTTTCTCATCCGCCGGGACCCGCACCACAACGTGGCCACGTCAGCTTTACACAACCACAGGTGTCCTCACGCGCATGGGCCTTTCAAAAGTCCTACTTCCACGTGTCCTTTTTACTTTTGTCAAGATTTTCGTGTGGTCTGGCGGTGGACCTTGTCTATTTTCCAGTTTGGCAGTTTTTGTTGTTAAAACAGAAATATCTCTACAGTAAGCAAGCGGGAGTTGATGATTTTGTGTAAACCTTTCCTTTTACGATTTCTTTTTTTACCCTTCAAATTACTTTTCTCACCGCTAACCTACTTCAATTTAATTACTAACACCACCCAATGAAATACTCCATTGTAAATATAATCACTTACACATAAATAATTGTTTGATTTTTTTTTTTGTAATATCTATTTTAATTTACAACTACTAAATTTTTTTGTGTTCAATAGTTGAACGGATGATTTTTTTTTTATCACTTGTCGAGCGTGCGTCGTTTGATATAAACATTTTGTTGTTACTTTATGTGCTTTCATGTTTACCTTCCCACAGACACAAACTAATCTTAATTATATTAACTATCCAGATACATGTCTGTCATCAACATGACTATCAATTGTCTCAGGATACTTCTAACAATGGTGACGCGCTGAATGTAGATTCATGCGAGACAATCGTGGAATCAAAAGGCTTGTTTTATTTATTTTTCTTGGAACAGTTTTTGAAAATTTCAACCGTAACCCTTAAGCTAAAGAATTTCTTCAGCAAACGCTGTGCCTAACTTGCATCATCAAGTTAAATCTCTGAATTCTGGAGTTGAGACTAGGGTTGTAATCGGGTCGAGTCGAGCTCGAGTATCGCCACACTCGAGCTCGACTCGACATACAGATAAGGTGCTCAACCTCAAACGAGTAGTATTATTGGAGCTCGAAACTTGCTCGCAGTACTCGAGTTCGACTCGCATGGGCTCGAGTCCATGCGAGGCTTATCGAGCTCGATTTATAAATTTCATTTTGTTGATAAATTTTGAACGAAAAGACATTATTGCCCTTTTAAAATTTTTATATGACTTGAAACATTTCGTAAATTCGATAATTCTTTAGGGTATGAGGGTAATTTTATAATAATAATATATTAAATAATTAAAATTAAAATGCTCGATAAGGCTCGTCGAGTTTTCGAGCATCGCTTCTGGATGCTCGAACTCGACTCGATAGCCTTATCGAGTTGCGCAAACTCGACTCAAACTCGGTTTGATCGAGTTCGAGTCAAACTTTTACTCACGAAGAGTTCGGTTTGGTTACAGCCCTAGTTGAGACTAGCTGAAATATTTTAAATAATGCTATATCCAAACACACCCCATTGTTTCTCAATCAACTAAAACAAGTTATTGTGCTCACAAGGGATACATCACGCAAATTGAATTAGTCGTACATTTAGTCATCAAAATGCGAGTCAAGTACATTTACCTTCCTTAGGTGGTTGATTACTACTTGTGGGAGCTGACGTAGAAGAAATTGTCGTTTCTTTTACCAAGTGTGTTTTTTTTTTTTTTAAACATGGATGATTAGGGGGGCGAATTTCAATTATGAGATTCTTTAAGGCGCAAGAATTGCAATTTCATATGTGGCAACTTTCAAAGTCTCCAGTTTAATGTTCTTGCGACTTTACATATAATATAGAATTTCAACGCAAGGGGTGAATTAACAAAGATTTATGAAGCTTGAAATGGTAATATAAGTTTAATGTTGAAAAATAGAATGTCAAAAGTTCCAGAATTTGCAAACCCGCCGGTCAAAAGTAGAAATAGAAACTACCATAAAAACTTTGCGGAAATAACTTCTTTCCTCCCGGTTGCCGAATATTCCACGACGCGTGCTATAAACGTTGTCAAATCGCGTTTGTGGCGTAATAGTTAGTAAGAACTCCAGAATTCAAAGATTTGGTGAAGAAATAGTAAAAAAAACAAAAAAAGAAGAAGAAGCAAAGAAGCCTGTTTCTGGTTTCAACTTAAAACGGAAACTCCCCAAGAAGAAGATACTCAAAGAAAGAAACCTTTTTCCTCTGTTCGGCTCTGTTCTCTCCCCCACAAATCGCGTCCGTCAATTAATCCTCATTTAATAGATTGGGCCCTGAATTTAAATTTTCTTTTTTTCTTTTTTGCCTTCTATGGCACGTCTCTACATTTAAGCAGCCTATAAATACTCCTCATTTCCAAGCCTCCTATTTTCTCTTCTTTCTCCTCTCTCTCTCTCTCTCTCTCTCTCTCTCTCTCTCCTTCCTCCTCCTCCTCCTCCTCCTTCTGGACCTCCCTCGATTATTCATCATCTCCATCTCCAGGATTTTGCAATTCCTATACCGGTATATTCTGGGTTCGATACGTGTATAGATGCATTGACAGAATTCGTAATAGATACATTTATGTACATCCAGAATTTTGAAATTGAATAGTCGCCGTCGTTGTTTTCTGCAATATCAGCAGTTTTTTTTGGTCTGCAAAGGTAAAATGTGACGTCATCAACGTCTTCTTTACCTCTGCCTTTTTTTCCCCTCCCATTTGTATAATTTATTGTGAATTTGTGATATTGTTTTTTGAGCTATTGATCTTTCCTTCTCTGGTTTGTACTGCGACTTTCTATGGCGTCGAATTGCTGTCGTCGACGCTTGCTTTTCATTGGCATTTGCTGAGGTTCTGAGATCTTGTTGTTGCAGATATTTCTTTTCTTCAAGAGTCTTCTTCGCACTCGCGGATTCCTGCTAGTTCCTAATCAGGTAGGTAGCTTCCGCATTTTTGCACGTGTACCTGTATGCGCGGGTGGGTGTATACATAGTTTCTTTTGGCTCTGAAAATTGTTTCATTTGTTGATAGGAAAAAGGAATCCATTACTAACTAACTATTGACCATAATTTGGATTTTTAATATCTGGTATTGTACGATTTTTTTTCTTTTTATCTTGGGCAATTTTTGGTGGCTTTCTTTAGGTTAAAACCAGCTCTTCTTTAGAAACAGCCTGTGCTGCTTTTCTGTTATCAAGAATCATAAAGATTTTCCTTTTATTTCACCTAATGCGCCGAAGAATGAGAAGATGGAGGTCTTTGGCAAAGTATTGGATTATAAATCACGAATTTCGTTATTTTGTTTTTCATTTCCGGTAGGGGAAGAGAAGGTTTAATGATTTAGCATTCAGATGAAAAGCACGGGTCTTGGCCAATATTTCTTGCGCATGTTTTTTTTTTCTTGTGCGTGCGTGTGTATTTTGTGTGTGTGTGCGCGCGCGCGCGCGCGTGTATACACAAGCACACACATACACATATATAGTAGGTTTATGTTGTTGGTTCAATAGTTGATGGGATTCAGTTATTTCGGTTTTTCCTCCTAACAGCAAGACAGATATGATGAACATGTTTTTTTTTTGCCTAAAAATGTCTTTCTTAGAGCTGTGTATGAATAAGCTGATGTGATAGGTGGCAACAACACTTTCAGTTCAATTTTAAACCTTACTCGTTTTTTGATTGTCGGCTGCATCACTCTACAATGACGTGAAAGCGACAATAATTTGTCAATGCATTCCTTAATCGATTTCATCCTTCTGAACTACCAAAAAAAAAATCAAGCTGAAAGAAAAAATTTTATTTGGAAACCTGATAATTCATCCCCCGTTACTATGTAAAATGCCCTGTTTTTACTGGTTCAAGGAAGACCACAATTACGGGATCACAGGAGAACTAGCTGAAGTTTGAATTCTAGCCAGTTATCTAAACATTTGCAATACCAGTCACGTTGGACTGTGTGATAGCAACAACTGTATGGGATATCTAAATTTAATTAGCTCTTTTCTATATCACCGGTTTTTGGCATTTCTAAAATTTAATGTTCTGGGTCCAATGTTTAATGCAACCCATACTTCTTTGTTGGACCACAAGATGTGGTTGCATATGCTCCTGTTTCCGCCTCATCCTCTGGTCTTAGAGAAAAGCTTATAGATTTGCCCATGATAGTAACATCAGGATGCTGTACCACTTTTATGACTCCAGCTCTCTATATTGATTCTCAATGATATATTCGAACAAAGAATACATGTCTGTCCTGCTCTTCAATATAAACATGATGAATGTTTTCAACATTAATTTGTTTTTCTCCACCACAACGTATTTACGTGTTTAATTTATTTATTTTCCTGACTTTCTAGTAGCGAGTTTGTCATTAGCACAAGGAAGCGAATATATGGTGCCATCAACTGTGTTTCTTAAGCCGTTCAACATTGTCATATTTGTGGATTGTGACCTTGTATGGTTCAATGTGCTTCAGTTTTTCTTTCTCCACATCTTAGGTTCTCTATTCCTAAACGTGGGTCCCTACCTAGTTCTCCATTGCTGGCCCATGATCAACAGGGACCAGGATTAGGTGATAACATTCCTTCTGCAGCAGCTGCCTGCCTTTATATGTTATATATGAGGTTTTAAACTCCTGTGCCAGTTGGTTCATTGAATTCTATAGCTGGTAACAAGTTCTTCTGTCCGTGATCTTAGGTAGACAAAAATTCATAATGTTGATTCGTTGGTTTTCAAAAGTCAATGCTTTTTAGTTACCTCAAGCCAAAACATTTCAATTAATCCGCTTAAATTCACAATTAAACCTGGTCTGTCACTTGAACAAGGTCGTAATTCAAAGAGTTTGTAACTGCAAAAAATATGCTTAGACTCTGGGGGCCTTTTTAGGTACTTTTGCCTGTAACATATTTTTTAAGGGATAATTTGAGTTCTTTGTGCTTCGTTTGAATGTTTTTGCACAGAACGTTCCATTTCATTTCTTGCCATTCAAGGTTTCTGTTATGGTTCTGTATTAATGTGTTTGGCAACAATTCTGTCAGCTGTTTTGATATCTACTATTTATTCCAATGGCCTGTGGTACCATCCTTCACTACGGAGGACTTTTTTGTGACATTTGCCAATAGAGCTTACAATATATCTTCTCCCACATTTTTGCAGCTGTAATCTGGTTGCTGGTTGAAATTGGCTGTTGCAGAAGAAATGATGTATGAGTAAGCTTTTGATTTGGCAAGCAGTTAATATTCTAGCCTTTTGTCAGTGTACTTACACTTATTCATAATTTTCAGTCTTCAGGAGTATTCTGCTTGATGGACTATAATCCCACCAGTAGTGACAAAAAAACTCTGAAGAGGTGGTTTTTCATTGATAAAAGGGTTGGTTGAAAGAACTTGAAGGTTTCTACAGTTGGGGAATACTGCTTGGAGTCAGCCCCAGATCCAAAAGCGTGATTTTTTAGTTTTTTTCACCCCAAAGCCTTTTCCCTTTTACTGATACATTTGGAAACAATGGACCTCAAATCAAGTCATACATCCCCCGTACTTGCTGATCCTGCTCTTATCAATGAGTCAATGTTGGGAATCCATTCTGGCCTCTTGCCGTACTCCCACAATGGTACAGCTTTCTCTCCAGCACCCTTCCTCACAATTCCAAGGAGGAAGCCTGGGATACTGGATGATGTTCGATCTAGTTCTTGGTTGGATGCGATGAAGTCATCATCTCCCACCCATAACAAAGTAAATAAAGATTCCAGCACTGGGCAATCATCAAATGATAGTGACAATGCTTATCGTACTTGGATGGTAATTTCTAATCCTCTTTTCGATGCAGTAATGCAACCATATTTTCCTTCAACAGCAAACTTTTGTCCTGCATAGACAGGATATGCTAAAATTTGCTAGTTTTGCAGCTCAAGTATCCATCAGCAATTGCATCTTTTGAGCAATTAATTAACTGTGCAAAGCACAAAAGAGTAGCACTTTTTCTGGATTATGATGGGACTCTATCCCCAATAGTTGACAACCCTGACCATGCCGTCATGTCATGTTCGGTGAGTATTAATCATTCTTCCCATACATTGAATAATTTCTTTCAGTAATATCTGTTAGCATCCTCTCGAGATTTTTATAATACTTGATGTTTTTCTCCAGATGCGTGCTGCTGTAAGAAATGCAGCTAAGTGTTTCCCAACAGCAATAATAAGTGGGAGAAGTCGTGACAAGGTATCCAACGTCCACAAATTTTTATTATGCACATTCTCTTATCATTGAAATTACTTGTTATTCTTTAGATTCCAAAGATTCAACTTCTCACCAATCATCTCCTGCTGTTTTTCTTCAGGTATCTGAGTTTGTGGGACTAACTGAACTTTACTATGCTGGAAGTCACGGGATGGACATTATGGGTCCTGCTCAACCAAATTCCAAAGACCAGACAAAATGTAACATGTCCATTGACAAGCAGGTAATGGTCCTGCAAGACCGATCAATTCTTGTTGAACCATGTGACGCTATGAGCTGCAGTTTGTTCTGGGATTGATAACTTCTGATATAATGTGCAAATCTATTCTCTGGCTATTGTAGTGCAAGGATGTTAATTTGTTCCAGCCTGCTAGTGAATTCCTACCCATGATTGATGAGGTTGGTAAATTTTATATAAACCCGCTTTGGTGCATAATTGGACTCTTTTCTGCAGTATGACAAAAGCATTCATTTTACGTGCAAGCAGGTCTTTAGGTCTTTGGTTGAGATCACAAAAGACATTGTGGGAACAAAAGTTGAGAACAACAAATTCTGTGTATCTGTACACTATCGCAATGTCGAAGAGAAGGTATGCTGTGTGCTTTCTCAGCTTGAAACTCTTAATTTTCTGTTCTTTGGCTGATGGAAACCTTTTGTCTTATGGAAATGTGTATAGAGTTGGACAATAATTGCAGAGTCTGTCGGAGAAATTTTGAAGCACTACCCTCGTCTGCGATTGACACACGGTCGGAAGGTATGATATCTACCAGAGTTCATGCAACTGCCTTTCCTTGGCTTGTGCTCTTCTAAAATGGCTGTCATGTTGTCTCTTTTCTAGGTTTTAGAAGTCCGTCCTGTGCTTAATTGGGACAAGGGGAAAGCCGTTGAGTTCTTACTTGAATCGCTTGGTGAGTGTGAGGTTTGCTCCTTAAAAGAACACAGTTTTGCTGCGTGCATATTTCATTCTCTTACCTGTCAGATTTTTAAAAAGCAGTAGACCTGATGCTGAGATAATTGTAGGGTTGAGCCACTGTGATAATGTGTTACCCATATACATTGGAGATGACCGTACTGATGAAGATGCCTTCAAGGTAAAGCCTGGCAATTTAAGAAACACCATTAAAATGTGACTAGTGCCTGTTGCTTGGGTATTCAGATATATGACAATCTTGCAAATGAAATTTTCGTCAGGTTTTAAAAAAGGGCAGTCGCGGTTATGGCATCTTGGTATCTTCTGTCCCAAAGGAAAGCAATGCTTCCTACTCCCTCAGGGATCCATCAGAGGTAAAAATTAGTTTATTGCTTCTTATATCTTCACACTAGGTGCCATGAGATGAGTTACTTCCTTTTCTTTTATAAGGATAGAAACTATGCTTATATGATAATTAGTAGCGTAAGAAACTCAGTGCTTCAAGGGCAGAACTTTATTTTAAGAATTGGTTGCTTATCTGATTCTTTGATCTGTTTCAGTGTGTTATTACCAGCTACATGAGAATGAGATCTAGTTTATCTTTGTAGGTCATGGAGTTCCTCAAGTGCTTGGTGAGCTGGAAGAAGTCAACTGCACTTTAACTGCATTCGAGTACAAGAAGAGAATCTATCGATAATACGTATACCATTAGGAAGATTTCAGTTTTAGATTAGTTATGTAAGAATAACCGATGGGCTTAGGAGCAGAGGTGCCTGATTCAGCTTTTGAGCATGGAACAGGGGTTAATTAATTGTTCCTGCTTATGGCTTTCCCTGTAAATTCTCTCTTTCACAGTATATCATACTTGCGGTGCCTGGGATGCCCTCATTCACAAGCGTGATGATATTCATGATTTGCATTCTTTCATTACAATTCATAGTAGTATCCGTTGTTGGTTCTCCCTAAGGGAGAATGTAGCAACATTTGTTTGTTTGATTTATTTGGACGGATGTCAATCATTTCTTTAATTAAATAAATGTATCTTCCGTGTATCCTGTACTGTCAATAGTGAAGAACTATGTGCAGCAATCTTATCCAGGATTTTGTGGAATTTCATTAGCGGATGCAAAGGCATCCATCTAATCCGGTGCGGTTCAACCCCCTTCGGATTCTCCATTGATCTATTTGAATCCACCTTTTCCCCTTAGTGTAGAATAAGGAGTAAGTTTAGAAAAAAAAAGAACTATGTATTAGCATGACAGTTGTATCGGATTTGCCTTTTTTCTTTTTTGTTCCCCCTCTCAAACTACTCTTATATTTAGTGGGAAGGGGATCCACTATCTCCCAATTGGGTTTTTAAAATTGCATGCAAGAAGAAACTAAACTACCTCTAAACTAGACATTGCATAACTAGATTTGCTTTCAAGGACTCTAAAATTGTCCAATTTCATTCTCCAACTACAATTACACGGTGCATTAAGCCCTTCTCAAATCATTGAGACAACTCCAATAATTTGATGTGTGTAAAGTAAAAAAGTGATTAAAAAATGCGTTGACAGAAAATTTAAAAATTTTTTAGGGAAAAATAGCTTTCCAAACAAAGTAGGAAGGTTCGTCGAACTCATAATATAGAAATTTATGCTGGCATAAAGAGAGTACAAAAAAAACTAATGTAGCAATATATCCTGGCATAAAGAGAGTACGAAGGATCTACCTCAATAGGATCGAAAAAGTGTACCTCAACTGGTACCCAAAGGAAAGGTTCGTCGAACTCGTTTACAATAAAGGGCTTAACTGGAAAAGGCCTGGTCCTGTCTGGATTGGGCTTTGTACAAGCCCTTATTTTATTTGAGTTTCTACAAAAAAGAAAATCTAAACAAAAAAAATCTTAAAAGGCACGCCCAATTGTAACTAGTTCATACTATTTGATCATTGGGTCGGTTCTATAGTTAGGAGGGGGCTTTTCTTTTTCATCATCAAATTTAGGGTCGAATCATGTACTTAACAATTAAAAGAAAATAGAATATAGATCCAATCTTAAATCTAATAATCGAAAATAGAAAGGATGCGGAGGAGGACGGGAGGGTAATCAAACAAAAAAAAAAAATCATACAATTATATATTGTGTAAATGGGCCATGTGTTTCCCCGACTGCTGATTAGTAGATATTAGTAGCATACAGATTATAGCGTTTTGCTGTAAATATGTCGGTACTGAAATGGAGAAACCCGTGGTTTTCGAGCTAACTCAGAATATGGTTGGATGTATCAAACATGATGCTACGAATTAAACTTCTCTTGAAACTAGAACTGGCTTGAAATTCATACTCGATCCCCCCCCCCCCCTCTCATATTTATTTTTAAGTTTTTCACTTAGGGTTTGTTTGTTTGGAAGGAAAATATTTTTCAGAAAATGTTTTCTTGATTTTCTATTGTTTGGTTGGGTTTTTGCTTTGGGAAAAATTTTTCCTACCGAAAATATTTTACATCAGATGGTGTAAAATGACTTCCCATATAAATGAATTGAAGTTATTTTTCATGTCCGCTTCGTAAGTCGTAAGACTACCCATTCAAGCTCCCCCACCAGCCTTAAGATTCAGAACAAAACCCACCACTCGTGCAATGGCTCACTAAAGATTTGTAGTTTCCATCTCCTCCCAAATAGTGGAAAAAACATGGAGAAGGTAATTATTTTCTCCGATAAAATTTTCCATGAAAAACATTTTTCGTTGAAAATATTTTACATTGAATCAAACGGACCCTTAATGAGACTATATTTCAGTCCTTTCGAGTACTATATCAGAATGATGGTACTTTGATTTCAAGTTTTACGCGAACTACAAGCAAAGAAAGAAATTGATCCTTTTTTCAAATATAATATTATAGTAATATATAATAATTCAAAAAAAATTGCATTCACATATAGAAATTGGTCCGTTTTTGAATTATATAATAATTTTTAAAAAAATTTCATTCATACAATATATCAAATATTTGAAAAAAAATTTCATATACACTACTACAGTAAATTTTTTCAAAAACATCCCCAAAAAACAGCTAATTCAAACAGAGACGGTATGTTTATAGAAGAAAGCTCGTACAAATCCTCCTGCAAAAGGATACCGCTAGTAATCAAACAAAAGATCACATAAGCATATTCACCAAAAGATGGGCGAATAAAAGTTGCCAAATACCAACCGTTCCGACTGCTGGAGAGGTCCGATATGCTTTAAGTGATCCACGCATTTAGCATGGCGAGCAACAATTTCTCATGGTAGTCCTGAGAGTGAGGCCTGAACTACAGCTGTAAAAGTTAAGGTCAAAGTGGGGGCCATCACGTGCAACACGTGATTTATGAGGGTCGGATGAGGCGTTTCACGGTTCAACTGGCTATATAATTTTTACTATAATTTTTGCTTCCATTTGAAAGCCGTCTCATTCAAAGTGGATGAGTAAAGCAAAATAAAAAGATGAACTGCAGTTATTTACGAGGGAAATCATCCAAGTACGATCGGATTGTATGTGATTTGATTCGAGTGTAACATTTCTATTACAATTTGATATTATATATATATATATATACGCACTTTGACTGTATTTATGTATTGATTGAGTATATATATGCTTACAGGTATGATTATATTTATGTATTGAATATTTGAGTTGATTTATATAAGTAAAATATAAAATTATATAAGCGTATACTAAATTATGAATATTTTATTCATATCCGTCTTTGATAGTTGTAGGAGCACCCTCAAAATTCTGAACTATTTTAATATCTTTGTTTTTGATACGTGTAATTTTGCTTAGGATGAAAGCTAAATTTTAGCATAAGATTAAAAAAAAAATAGAAAACTAGGGCCAAGAGCTGATTTGGTGCTTAATGACCCCATTCGACAAAATAAAATACTAATTCTCCGTATAGAGGCTGTTGTTTTATTGCTCCATCTGCCCGCGTCCGCATTTCCTGTTTCTTAACAATGAAAATTTGGAAGTTTGAGGCTTTAATTTAGGGCTGCAAACGAACCGAGCCACTCGCGAGCGCTCGACTCGAGTTCGAACTGGCTCGAGTCGAAATCGATATCAAAATATTAAGCTCGAGTATATATATATATATATATTTTTTTATTTTAAGTATATATATATTTTTTATATTTTTTAAATTTTAATAGTAAAATTACATATATATCCTTAATATTTTATTATTTATTAAGAAAAAAATATTATTTTTTTTATTTTTTTCGAGCTCGAACTTGAGCTTGAAATTGTCAACTCGTCGAGTTCGAGTTCAATGAAATTATGTCGAGACTCGGCTCGATTAGGCTAAATCTCGATTCGACTCGGCTCGTTTGCAGTCCTACTTCAATTCCACTTTCATTTCGGTCCACCAAAATGAAGAAGAAAAAAAAATTAACAAAAAAACTCACGTACTCAACCAAAATAATCTGAGATGTTGACTTGGCGACGTGTCCGTCTGATTTGCTTTTGAATGATTTAATAATTAATCTCCGCCCTTTTCCACGTGATTAATCAAACTATTAAGCCTGTGGCACCCGATCACCCCACCTAAGTCTCCTGGTGGTTACAACTGGGTGCATGCACAATCTTCCCGGAGGGACGGGGACGGGGACGGGGATGATGGTGAATGATTCACCATTCATGAAGCGTAAAAATGGTTATTGCTGTATTTTAATGCCAATCATCGTGTCTAAAATTTCCGGGATAATAACTTGTGCTGTAATAATAAAATGGAGTTCCGACAGGACTATATATAGAGTGATTTTTAGACCATGAAACTGCCATATGTAAAACTTTTGTTACCCTTTTTTTTTTATATATATATTGGACTTTTCCACTAACTTTTTATACAGGAGTGTTTACAAGTTTGTAAATTCTTGAGAGGATATAGCTACACCTATCCACCCTTTTGTCTGCCACTACATTCAAGATTGCCTTGCTTCCTCTTCTTCTTCTTTTTTATTTTTTTATTTTTTTGGTGAAGAGGCGGGGCTGTGGCTGGGGCTGGGGGGGGGGGGGGGGTGTGTGTGGAATTAACCTACTGCAGCAACCTTTTTGAAGTGTCTCGTTTGCACTTTCAAAAATGAAAGGTCTCGAGATTATTGCCCTTTGAGGGGGAAAAATGGACAATGTAAGCTCTTTTTTTTTTTCCTATAGAGACGGATCTAAGGAGGTTCAATGGTAATTCGAAGGGACTGAACCACGACTAGAGGAGGAGGCGAATCTAAGGAGGCCCAAGGGTAATCCGGAGAAAACTTAACTACCATTGAACCAAACGACGAGTGTACTGTGCATCTATTTAGATTTTTTTAAACAAAATCACTTTTAATGTGACAATTTGGTGGAAGGCAAGAGTTCGAGACAAGGTTTGAACCCTTGTCTTAGATCATCTTACCAAGTTTTAATGTTTTGATGGTGGCCACCGACCCAAAGGCTGATGGTTGGACAATGTAAGCTTATTGGTGCCTAAAATGTGAAACACTGAACCGTGATCATAAAGTAATTGTAACAAGTTCTTGGAAATGAAACAAGAACTTTACATTTTGAAGTGAGCCGCAATATATATATATATATACACATAATAGCATGACAAATAGTTAAATTGGTCAATATGGCAAATCGTTGTAATTTGGCATAAGAAAGTATTTAGCAAAACATTAAAAAATTTAAAAAAGTGAGAAACATACGTATGACGTGTTGACACGTAGATAATATATCTTATAGAGACTGGGGTCCGTCAATAATGTCATTCTTTAATGTCCAGAAGTCGAATCAGGCCGTAAGATTGGTACACGAATACGATTCTATAATACAATGCCAACTCATTGCCCAATTCTGATTTGTCCGTAGTCAAACAGAGATATGATGACCAAATAAAACCGGCAAAATTTTTAACGTGTTGCAATCACAAAATTGAGGAAGGGTGGAATGGAATATAATATATATATATATATATATAAAATTTTGAATTCAAATTCTTTCACTTATGTTATTAAAAATAATATTACAGAATCGATATGGTTCAATATTCA